CACCTATAATGGGGGCTTCTGTGAATGACAAAGCTTCTAGTGCCTTTAAAATATAATTTAGGGATGCCTGGGTGGCTCAGTCGGTTAAGCGGCTGCCTTCGGCTCAGGTCATGATCCCAGGATCCTGGGATCGAGCCCCACATCGGGCTCCCTGCTCAGCGGGGAACCTGCTTCTCCCTCTGCCTGCTGCTCCCCCTGCTTGTACTCTCTCTCTCTCTAGCAAATAAATAAAATCTTAAAAAAAAAAAAAAAAATATATATATATATATATATAATTTAGTTGATCAGATTTCATTCACCCCTCTCCAGGAACCCCTACAGAACAAAGCAAACAACCCCATGCACCGGTGGGAGTCTCCTCGGGGTTCTTTAGTATTGTGGGGACCTATCTCTTCTTAAGATTTATTTGAGAAAGAGAGAGCATGCACTCAAGCTCGAGAGCAGGGGAGGAGCACAGGGAGAGGCTCTACACCAAGCACAAAGCCCAATGTGGGGCTTGACCCACGACCCCGATGACATGACCTGAGCCAACACCAGGAGTCAGACGCTCAACCAACTGCGCCAACCAGGCGCCCTGGGGACCTTTCTTATATGATTATGTTCTTTGTCCCAAACTGAACACTTTTCTTTTTTTTTTTTACTTGAACTTGGCTCCACACCCAGCATGGACCCAACACAGGGCTTGAACTCATGACCCCAAGATCAAGACCTGAGCTGAGATCAAGAGTCGGACACTTAACCTACTGAGCCCCCCAGGCGCCCTGAACTGAACACTTTCTGAGATCAAACACTGAACCCTCCTTCGCCTGGATCATCCCACAGTGTCCAACATGCACAGGGCTGTGTGTGGCTTTCCCATCTGTTTGGGGATCCCTGGGGATGGGCTGTGGGGGCTAATGCTGATGAATGGGCAAATGAGGGGCAAGGCTCAGAGGTCTCTGCAGGGGATTGGCTCACCTGGCCAAAGGTGACTCGGGCCCGCTCAAACCCGCCAACCTGCAGCCGTTTCTTGAAGAGGTCCAGGGGGTATGTGAGGGTCTTGCTGAGGACTCCAGCTCCGCTACCACAGAGCAGGTTTCTGAGGTGCTCTGAACCAAAGTGGGATTGAGGGGAAATGAGGAAAGTGAAATCGGGGGAAGACAAGTTGAAGAGCTCTAAGCCTCCACTGTAAAACTAAGACCCACCAGCATCCTGAATCTCTGAGGAGAACCACACACGGCCACTCTGGGTCGAATGGCAATAAGGAGGGAATGGAAGAAGGAGTTTGCAGGCTCTGCGGTGTGACTCGGTTCAAGGCTTGGGAGGAGAATCAATGTTGACAGTACCACTGCTGGGGTGGCAAGGGCTGAAAGGGTCTGCAAGCTGTTGACTTGGTTGGTTTGGTTGGCAGTGCGACAGAGCAGGGTTCAGAGAACGGGGATGTCCTAGCCTCTGACAGAAGGCCTTAGCTCCTACAAGGATCAGAAAGAGATGCTCTGGCTTGGGGGAGGGGACAATGGAAACCCGGACTCTCTTTGTGTGAGGGCTTCTCACCGTTGTTCCTTCCCTCGGCGGGCAGGACCCACTTGTGCACGTGCTTCAAGGCGCTGTAAAAGGAGAACTGGAAGCCGGCGTAGGGGAAGATGGCGATCAAGGTGGGGTTCAAGCCTTTGTAGAAAACCAAGGGGCCTTCGGTCCGGTACATGGTCACCACGGCGTCTCGCAGGGTTTTATACACCTGGACGGCACACGGGCAGCTCGAGTGAGTGCGCGGGGCGGTCTGGCCCTGGATCGCAGCCCATCACGTGTACCTCCCCTCGGCCCAGCTGCCAGCAGCATGACTTCTGCCAAGGGCACAAAGAAAATGCTGGACAAAAATCCCAAGGCGGGATTTTCCAGCAACTCCCCTTCTAGCTATTTACAAGACCAGTATGTCTACACAAGTGCACGAGAGGACATGTCCGAGGACAGCTGCCACCGTGTCCTGCGGAACAGCAAAGACGCAGCGTCCACCCTTGGGTGACTGGTTACATACATGACGACACACCCGTTCCAGACACACAGCCACCGTGGAAAGAGTATTGCGCCATCTACACAACGGATCGGGAATAATCCCCCACACACAGAGCTGAATGAGCACAGGGAGAGGCTGAAGAGCGGGTTTAATGCTTGTGGAGGAACAAACCATGAAGGGATTTACTACCCACCCCCGGCCCCAGGGATACATGAGGAATGAGGGAGGGTGAGCATGACCTCCACGGAGGGAAAGCCGGGGCAGGGGAAGAGGGAGATTTACTCTTACCATTTTATGCTATTTGGATTTTTTGCCAGGTGCACATATTTAACCTTTTATAACCTGTCAACAGGCGATCTCCATGCAGGCAGACCACCGGGCATTGGTTTTTCTTAGTACCCTTCCATTCGACGCATTCTTTGCAGTGGGCACGGCGAGGGACCTCAATGACAGGGCGGCTGGGGGAGGCACCCTGCCCCGAGAAGGGAGGACACTGGCTACCTCCTCACCTCCTGGCTCCCAGACACTGGCGGCCACACTGAAGGATTCACCCTGGGGACCTCCAAGAAAGGGCCAGGACTCGGAGAAAGGCCACTGGGCCACAAGCCTGCCACGCGCCCACTGCCCCACTCTGCTTCCCTGTGCTCCCTTTAACACCAGGCTGGCAGCCAAGGGTCACCAGACATCTGAGGAAAGCCTTCATAAAAAATGGAGACGAGGGCGCCTGACTGGCTCAGCTGGTAAGCGTCTGCCTTCGGCTCAGGTCATGATCCTAAGGTCCTGGGATCGAGCCCCGCATCGGGCTCCCTGCTCAGCAGAGGGCCTGCTTCTCCCTCTCCCTCTCCCCCTGCTTGTGTTCCCTCTCTCGCTGTGTCTCTCTCTGTCAAATAAATAAAGTAAAATCTTAAAAAAAAAAAAAAAAAAAATGGAGACCAGGGTGCCTGACTGGCTCAGTCAGTAGAGTGTGTGACTCCTGATCTCAGGATTATGAGTTTGAGCCCCGCAGTGGTTACAACAAACAAACAAAAAACAAACAAACAACAACAAACAAAAAACAAGATCCAGACACCAAAATGATCAATGGGGGGGCACAGAAATCATCTAGAAGGAAGAGACAGTGTAGACAGAAGAAGGAAACCGAAGGAAACAGAGACCAACTACAAAATTGGAACTGATATTCTCAGGCCAAAGAGAAGGCATCACCTCCGTGAAAAAAGGAAAGAGTCGATTTAAAAAAGAGGTAAGATTCAGAGAACAAGGGCGCCTGGGTGGTTCAGTTGGTTAAGCAACTGCCTTCGGCTCAGGTCATGATCCTGGAGTCCCGGGATCGAGTCCCACATCGGGCTCCCTGCTCAGCGGGGAGTCTGCTTCTCCCTCTGCCCCTCCCCCCTCTCGTGCGCGCGCACGCGCGCGCGCGCTCTCTCTCTCATTCTGTCTCAAATAAATAAATCAAATCTTTAAAAAAAAGATTCAGAGAACAAGACAAACTCTTGTTTGAGGGAAAAAATCTTTGTGAGTTTGGGTTAGGCAGATTTCCTTTTTTTTTTTTTTAAGATTGTATTTATTTGAGAGACAGAGAGAGAAAGAGTGGGAGGGGAGAGAACCTGAAGCAGACTCCACGCTGAGAGCAGGGCCCCATGCAGGGCTCAGTCCCATGACTGCGAGATCATGACCTGATGCAACACCAACAGTTGGACACTTAACCCACTGAGCCACCCAGGTGCCCCTCAGCAAAGACTTCTTGGATAAAATACCAAAAGCAAAATGCATAAAAGAACAAATTGATACATTAGGACTTTTTGGGGCACCTGGGTGGCTCAGTCATTAAGCGTCTGCCTTCAGCTCAGGTCACGAACCCATAGTGCTGGGATCGGGCCCCACATCGGGCTCCCTGCTCAGTGGGGAGCCTGCTTCTCCCTCTGCCTCTGCCGCTCCCCCTGCTTGTGCTCTCTCTCTGACAAATAAATAAATTCTTTTTTTTTTAAGATTTTATTTATTTATTTATTTGAGAGAGAGAAACACAGTGAGAGAGGGAACACAAGCAGGGGGAGAGGGAGAAGCTGGCTTCCCGCTAAGCAGAGAGCCCGATGTGGGATTTGCTCCCAGGACCCCGGGATCATGACCCGAGCCAAGGCAGATGCTCACAGACTGAGCCACCCAGGTGCCCCATAAATAAAATCTTAAAAAAAGAAAATTAAAAACATCTGTTCTTCAAAAAACAGACTATAAGGACGTGAAGACAGCCACAGCCATGGACTCAGAAAAAATGTGTAAAACAAAAACAACAAACCACCAAAATGGGAAAATAATTTGAACAGATTGCTTCAGCAAAGAAGGTACACAGAGGGCAAATAAGCACATAAAAATACATTCAACATCTCTGTGGTAAAATCACGATGAGATACCACTATTCACATCTAGTAGAGTGGCTAAAATTTAAAAGAATAAAATAAAAATAGGGGCGCCTGGGTGGCTGAATCGGTTAAGCGCCCAACTCTTGGTTTCGGCTCAGGTCATGACTTCAGGGTCATGAGATTGAGCCCTCCGTCAGGCTCCATGCTCAGCGGGGGGTCTGCTTGGGATTCTTTCCCTCTGCCCCTCCTCCTGCTCACAGGCACACTCGTTCTCTCTCTCAAATAAATAAATCTTTAGAAAAGAATTGTTGGTGGAACTATAGGGTATTATACTAAGCGAAATAAGTCAGAGAAAGACAACTATCAGATGATTTCACTCATATGTGGAATTTGAGAAACAAGGCAGAGGACCATAGGGGAAGAGAGGAAAAAAAAAATGAAGACGAAACCAGAGAGGGAGGCAAACCATAAGAGACTCTTTTTTTTTTTTAAAGATTTTATTTATTCATTTGAGACAAAGAGATACAGAGAGAGAGAGAGAGAGCATGAGCAGGGAGAGAGCCAGAGGGAGAGGGAGAAGCAGGCTCCCCACTGAGCCAGGAGCCTGATGTGGGGCTCGACCCCAGGCCCCTGGGATCATGACCTGGGCCGAAGGCAGACGCCTAACCATCTGAGCCACCCAGGCGCCCCAAGAGACTCTTAATCATAGGAAACAAACTGAGGGTTGATGGAGGGGAGAGGGGTGGAGGGATGGGGTAACTGGGTGATGGACATTGGGGAGGGTATGTGCTGTAATGAGCACTGGGTATTATATAAGACTGATGAATCACAGACCTGTATGCCTGAGACAAATAATACATTATATGTTAATTAATTGAATTTAAATTAAAATAAAAATTAAAATAAAAAAAACTTAAAAAAGAATCAAATAAAACCAAAAACCAGAGAATACTAAGTATTGTGAAGATAAGGAACAACTGGAAATGGTGGTGGGAATGCAAAACGGCACAGCCATGTAGGAAGCAGGTTGGCTTTTCCTCAAAATTAAACATTTTCACCATACAACGCAGCAACCCCACCCCTAGGTATTCACCCAAGAGAAACAAAATGTTCACACAATAATCTGTATGTGAATGTCCGTAGTGGTTTTATTCACAGTCACCAAAAAACTGGAGAACAACTGTGACATCTCCCAACTAACAAATCACGGTAGGGCCACACGACAGAATACTATGCAGCAAGAAAAAGGAACCAACCACTCACACACGTGGCATGGATGAATCTCAAATGCAGACGCCAAGTGAAGGGTGCCTACTCAAACAACTACGTAAGACCTAATTCCCTGTATCTGACATTCTGAAAAAGGCAAAACTTTAGACAGAAGACAGACCAGTGGTTAACAGAAGCTGGCAATGGAGAGGGACTGACTATAAAGGGGCAGGAGGACATTTTGGGGATGATGGAACTTTTGTGTTTTATATCCTGATTATAGTAGTGGTTATGTGCATTCATCAAAAGTCAGAGGGGTGCCTGGGTGGCTCAGTTGGTTAAGCAACTGCCTTAGGCCCAGGTCATGATCCTGGAGTCCTGGGATCGAGTCCCGCATCGGGCTCCCCGCTCAGCGGGGAGTCTGCTTTTCCCTCTGACCCCCACACCCCGTGTTCTCTCATTCTCTTTCTCTCAAATAAATTAAAAAAAAAAAAGTGTCTGGCTTGGGCTTGGGTCATGATCTCGGGGCCCTGGGATGGAGCCCCATGTCGGGCTCCATGCTTAGCAGGGCCTGCTTGTCCCTCTGTCCCTTCCCCCACCCCCTCGCCCCCACTCGTGTTTTCTCTCAAATAAATAAATTAAATTAAATCTTAAAAAAAAAGTCAGAGGGGCGCCTGCATGGCTCAGTCGTTGAGTGTCTGCCTTTGGCTCAGGTCATGATCCCAGGGTCCTGGGATCGAGCCCCGCATCGGGCTCCCCAATCAGCGGGAAGTCTGCTTCTCCCTCTCCCACTCCCCCTGCTTGTGTTCCCTCTCTTGCTGTGTCTGTGTCAAATAAATGAATAAAATCTTTAAGGAAAAAAATTAGTTCCAAAAAAAAAAAAAAAAGAGAGAGGTGTATACTAAAGAGTGAATTTTACTGTGTATGTAAGTGATGTTTCATTAAATTAGACTAAAGCAAACCAAAAAAGAGCTCTTAGGAACTAACATACATTAGCAAGCATTTTTAAAATTCAATAGAGAGCCGCAAATGATAAAAGCAAGGAAACCTCCCAGAAAGTAGGACAGAAAGAGAGAGAGCTAAACAATAGTAGAGAAAAGTCAACCAGAGGATAGACCCAGGATGTCTAATACCCAACTGACACGAATTACAGAAAGAAAAGAAAAAAATAGAAAATAGCAATTGTGAATAAATCATTCATGACCATTTTCTAGGCATGAGAAACAGGAATGTCCAGACTAAAGGGTCCAGAAGTGCCCATCACAATGAATGAGACACAGACCAGTGCACATCACTGGTAAATCTCTAGAATGCCAGGAATCAAGAAAGGAACCTGAAAGTTCCCAAGGCAGGAGGAGTGATAGCTTCATATAAAGGATCATTAATTGGAGTGGTTCTGGACTTCTCTACAGCAACACTGAGAGCGACCTAGAATTCTATACCCAAATTGTGAGTCAAGTGTTAAGTAGGCATTTTCTACAGCAACACTGAGAGCGACCTAGAATTCTATACCCAAATCATGAGTCAAGTGTAAGTAGGCATTTTCTATCAAGGCTTCTCTATAAAGAAGCTGTTATCTCTAGTATTTCTCCACCAAAATGAAGGATTAATCAAGAAAAAGAAGACATGGGACCCAACAAGAGAATTCCTAACAGAATAGCTGGTAACAGTCCTGGAGCAAAGAGTCCATACTGATGCCAGAGGGTGAAGGCTGCTAGAGCTGGGGGGCTCCAGGAGAGGCTCCCTAATAACGTGGGACTGATGACCACAGGCTGACCCTATCAAGACTGTTTGAGGGTAACTTTGTTTTTTGGGTTTGTTTTTTGTTTTTTTTTTTAAGATTTTATTTATTTATTCATGAGAGAGAGAGAGAAGCAGAGGGAGAAGCAGGCTCCCAAGGAGCAAGGAGCCCGATGCGGGACTCGATCCCAGGACCCCGGGATCATGACCTGAGCCAAAGGCAGACGCTCAACCATCTGAGCCACCCAGGCGCCCTGGTTTTTTTTTTTTTTTTTTTTTAAGATTTTTTATTTGAGAGAATGAGTATGAGGATGGGCAGAGGGAGAGAGAGAGAGAGAGAAGCAGGCTCCCCACAGAGCAGGGAGCCCGATGTGGGGCTCAATCCCAAAACCCAAAGGCAGATGCTTAACGGTCTGAGCCACCTAGGCGCCCCGAGGGTAATTTTGTGATAAGCATGAGAAAAGCTGCTAAATACAAGGCAATCACTAATTTCAGGTGAGACAAAGATATACAAGAAAATGTAATCATAATGTATTTCAAGGCTCAGCAGTAACATTTACATAATCATAACAGCACAGACACTCAGTATTGATTTAGCCAAAATCTATAAACCAGTCATATTGAAATCAGAGGAAGCGCAAGCACACATGCAAGTTATGGTAAAAGAGGTAAACTCTCATCTTCCACAGTAGCTATCAATAGCTAATGTCTACAATTTAAAAATTAGAAAGAATGGGGCGCCTGGGTAGCTCAGTCGTTAAGCGTCTGCCTTAGGCTCAGGTCATGATCCCAGGGTCCTGGGATCGAGCCCCACATCGGGCTCCTTGCTCAGCAGGAAGCCTGCTTCTCCCTCTCCCACTCCCCCTGCTTGTGTTCCCTCTCTCGCTGTGTCTCTCTCTGTCAAATAAATAAATAAATAAATAAATAAATTAGAAAGAAAAAGAAAGAGAGAGAACTAGTAGTATAAGCATGTTACTGAGAATTAGGAAGTAAAAGAAGAAAGAGCGACCAGTATTAAAAGTGGTTGCCTCTGGGGGCGCCTGGGTGGCTCAGTCGGTTAAGCAGCTGCCTTCGGCTCAGGTCATGATCTCAGGGTCCTGCGGTCGAGCCCCGCATCGGGCTCCCTGCTCAGCGGGGTTTGCACTCTCCCTCTGTGTATGTTCTCTCTCTCTCTCTCAAATAAATAAAATCTTAAAAAAAAAAAAGTGGTTGCCTCTGGGGACTGGAATCGGGGTGGTTGTTAGTGTTTCTTTGTTATAATTCATGCAGAACCACATGTCTTTTTAACTTTTATACACCTTATAGATCACTGATTAAAAATCATTTTAAAGATTTTATTTATTTATTCAGAGACAGAGAGAGAGTGCACACAAGCAGGGGGAGGGACAGAGGGAAAGGGAGAGAGAATCACAAGCAGCCTCCATTCTGAGGAACCCCGATGCATGGCTTGATGTCACGACCCTGAGGTCATGACCTGAGCCTAAACCAAGAGTTGGATGCTCAACCAACTGAGCCACGCGGCACCCCTAATTAAGAAACATTTTAAAGATTTTATTTATTTATTTGAGACAGAGACAGCAGCAAAGATAGTGAGAGAGGGAGCACAAGTGGGGAGGAGAGAGAGAAGCAGGCTCCTGCAAAGCAGGGAGCCCCGATGCGGGGCTTGATCCCAGGATGCTGGGATCACGACCTAAGCTGAAGGCAGACGCTTCACCGACTGAGCCACAGAGCGCCCCTAAGAAACATTTTAAAGGTGACGACTGACACCATGGCTGCTACTGATCTACGAAAGGTGGAGGGTCTACAGCTTTTAAACAGATCTTTCACTCACTTTTGCACACAGATGATTTCCTGATTATTCCAGAATCTAGAATCCCTAACTCAGTCGTCTAAGCCAGAGAGATATGTTCTCTCTTCTCTTACACTTTTCCTTCTCAGAGACCTCTTTTTAAAATTTATTATTGGGGCGCCTGGGTGGCTCAGTTGGTTAAGCGACTGCCTTCGGCTCAGGTCATGATCCTGGAGTCCCGGGATCGAGACCTACGTCAGGCTCCCTGCTCGGCGGGGAGTCTGCTTCTCCCTCCGACCCTCTTCCCTCTCGTGCTCTCTCTCTCTCATTCTCTCTCTCTCAAATAAATAAATAAAATCTTTAAAAAATAAAAAAATAAAAAAAATAAAATTTATTATTGAAGTAGAATTGACATACAGTATTATATTAGTTTTAAATGTACCTTCTCATAGATTTTTTTTTTTTTTTTTTTACTAAGGGCTGGGAAGTCATAGAAGAGGACTCCAGCAGCCCAGAGCAGAGAAGCTGATGGACCACCACCACTCATTTTTTTTTTCATCCCAGCAGCCACCATGTTGCTGAAAGCTGTCTGTCTTCTCCAACTACAAACACCCTTCCCCCCCATCTCTCTGCTCAGTGCCCAGGGCCCCTCATCTCATTTCACCACCTGGAGAAAGCTCTATTTCCCATTGAAGTGCCATACAGAAGGATCTAGCTCTCATGCCCCATTCGTTTGCTTGAAGACTGTTCCCAGGACACTCTGCCCTTCTAAACCAAAAAAGCCATCAGGATGTCTCCTAAACAAAAGGGCTCCACCAGTCCAGGATCTCCACCCCAGGCAACTGAACTGAACTGAAACCACAGTTATTCTAAAGCACATCAAATTCTTAAGCAGTGTCATTCCCCACAAAAATACCCTAAAGCAGAAGGGAGACAGAAAAATTACTCTTTCTTGGTTGAGCATGCACATATGTGCACATGTGCGCACGCACACAAGCACGCACACACACATGCACACACGCACTGCTATTCTTACGTATGTCCAGGAAACAAAGATTATGGTGGGGAGGTCTATTTCAGGATTTAATTCCTCCCTTTCCCTCAGTAAGTTCTTCCTGGAATCTGACTCCATTATCCCATTTCCTCTATCCATTCTTTGTGGAAAGCAAAAACACTCTCACAATAACCCAGAAATATGATCTCAAGTCTCACTCTCCTGGATGCCTTTACTGTCCAACCTACTGTTCATTACTTGTTCTATTTCCCACCTGTAGGTTCTGTCTCCCTCGTGAGGCTGCGAGCACCTGGCATGGTGCTCTGCACAGTTACAGGTCTTACAGATGGACCGACGGAGGGGATGCAGGCCCCAGCGAGCCTGGGGGTTTTGTTCCCTCTAAAGAAAAGAGCCCCAACTCCTGAAACACCTTCTGTTACGCGGGCACCCCTTCTCTGGCCCAGCCACTCACCTTGGGCTCCCCCTGAGCTGCAAAGCGAGTGCGCAGCACGTCCACAGGATGCACGGCCAGGGTGGCAGCGCTGGCGGACAGGCCTCCACACACAAAGTGCACTGAGAAGTCACAGGCATCATACGTGGTGGCTTTGTGCACCAGCTCGGTCAGCAGTTCAAACGACAGAAACTACAAGAGCACGTGACAAAGTAATTGACAAACACCCCCCCAAATACACCACCACGACCCAGGTGGGGCCCAGTTCTATGGACGAGGGAATATTCTCCTTGAGCAGTCACAGAATATAATGAACATATAACTTTGTGCAAAGTGCAGATGGCATTTTATACTCTTATTTGAGTAGAGCCAAATATCCAGAGGTTAAGAAAATAGAGGGGAGGGGCACCTGGGTGGCTCAGTCTGTTAAGCATCTGCCTTCAGCTCAGGTCATGATCCCAGAGTCCTGGCATCGAGCCCCACGTCGGGCTCCCTGCTCAGTGGAGAGTCTGCTTCTCCCTCTCCCTCTGCCTCTGCCTGCCTCTCTGCCTACTTGTGCTCTCTATCTGTCCAATAAATAAAAAAAATCTTTAAAAAAAATAAAATAAAATAGAGGGGAAAAATTTTATATCAGAAAACTGTACTCAGGGGCGCCTGGGTGGCTCAGGCAGTTAAGCACCTGCCTTCGGCTCAGGTCATGATCCCAGAGTCCTGGGATCAAGTCCCGCATTGGGTTCCCTGCTCAGTGGGGAGTCTGCTTCTCCCTCTCCCTGCTGCTCCCCCTGCTTGTGCTGTCTGTAAACTGAATGAATAAAATCTAAGAGGGAAGGGAGGGAAGGGAGGGACGAAGGGAGGGAGGGAAGGAGAGAGAGATGAAAGGGAAGGGAAGGGAAAAGGAAAGGGAAGGAAAAAGGAAAGGAAAAAGGAAAAAGGAAAGGAAAAAGGAAAGGAAAAAGGAAAAAGGAAAAAGGAAAGGAAAGGAAAGGAAAGTTCTACTCATTAGCTGCGTGTCCCCGGAGCCGGGAGGCGAGAGCTGCTGGGGTTGTGTGTGGGCCCCCCTCCAGTACAGGCGTGGCGGCACTGTTTGACAGACACTCTCTCGGGAGAATTCCACGTGTTCCGTACTGTACGGTATAAATCCCCCGACGCTGAGCTCTTCTGTGGGCAGCGCAAGATGGCTCGGTGTCCTGAGAGCACGCGGCAGCGTGGGGTCTGAGGGCTGGCCGCAGAGACACGTCAGCCCATGAGCGCCTGGTCCGAGCCATCGCCGGGACGTCACAGGAAAGGCAGGCAGGGGCTACTCTGGCTCCAGCCGTCCAGGTGGGAATCCTGACCCTGCCGGCTTTTGAGCTGGTGCCTTTGGTTGGGTTCATTACTTAGGCTCTCTGCCTCATCTTGTCGGTGACACGGGAGCGACAACAGAGCCTCCGTCGGGGGATCGCGGTGAGGTACCACACGCCAAGTGCCTAACACAGGGCCTGGCTCACAACGAGCACTGCACCGCAGCCCGGCCGGCAACTACCGCCGCTTGGCGTACACACCACCCACCAGGAAACCAACTGGCGCCGGGGCGCCTGGGGGGCTCAGTCGGTTCCGCGTCGGACTCTTGGTTTCAGCTCAGGTCACGATCTTGGGATCGTGGCATCGAACCCTGAGTCGGGCTCCGTGCTCAGCGGGGAGTCCACTCGTCCCTCTCCCTTTGCTCTTCCCCCCTGCTTTCGCACAGGCTCTCTTGCTCTCTCTCTCTCAAATAAATAAATAAAATCTTCAAAAAAAAAAAAGGAGAAATCAACTGGCGCTGAGCAGCATGAACATACGAACCCAAGGTAAGGCGACTGCATTCTCATCCTGCTCCCACCACCTCCAGGCTGTGTGGCCTTTGGCAGCTCACTTCCCCTTCTCTGTGATCCACGAAACACCTGTTCTACCTTCCTCACAATGCTGCTGGGAAGCTCAAAGGAAGTACAGATGTGAAAATGCTATTTTGAAAAATGAAGGGATTTGTATCACCGTTTGCCAAGCCCACTGGGGACGTGACGTCAGGACAGTCTCCTCGGGACAATAGCTAATTAATATTCAGTTGGGGCTAAGTCCCCGCGGTGGGGGGACGTGCGGAAGGGAATGCCCATATGGTACAGCTTGATCTAACTCTGTCTCCATTTTCAGACTTCAAACTTCATGTAGTTCCCCAGTTAAGACAAGTAGAAGTGTGGTGACCACGTCCTACTGCCCTAGCCAGGCAGGGCCCCTGCAGGCCCCACCTTCCTGTGCTCCCTGTTGAGCAACACGAACCCAGGGCCCTGGCCCATTCCCCTGTCATCTACCTGGACAGCTCCATAGCCTATAGAGAGAAGCTGCGCTGGGACGTGTCCTTTCCAGAATGCTGTGGGGCCTTCCTCCTGCAAAATCTGTCTCCCAGCCTGTAGGATCCCATGGTATTTTGCACCGGGGTCACTGCGAGACAGGCGCTCAATCTGAAGCTAGGAATCAAAATTGAAAAGGTCAGGATTAACAGGGACAGGTGTGGGGTGAGAAGGAGAAATTTTTGGAAAATGTAACAAAGGCAGCCAAGAACTTCTCCTTGACAAAATTCCAAGACCTGGAAACTGCTTTGACAAGAAAGAGAGAATTTGTCCCCCAGCCCACTACATGGGAAAAAAAGGGGGAAAGGGTACCTGGAAACGGATCTTGATGACATCCAAGGGGCTGACCATCACCCGAGTGACAAGTCCAGACACAGACCCAGCCACAGCCACCTCAAAACTGGAGATATTCCTGCCATCAGCTTTGGGGTCATAGCCAACCATCCCTGCCTCTGGCCCATACAATGTCCATCAGTTTCAATCTAAAAGGAAGAGACATGGAGTAAACACCAGAGCAAGTTCTTAGGGTCTCTGCTCACAAGCACCTCCTCAGAGCATCCCTCCCTGACCACCCCATCTAAAACAGCACCCACATCCCCTTTTATCCCCTTGCCCTCCTTTCTTCTTCTTTTTTTTTTTTTTTAAAGATTTTATTTATTTATTTGAGAGAGTGAGAATGAGAGAGAGAGAGCACATGAGAGGGGGGAGGGTCAGAGGGAGAAGCAGACTCCCTGTTGAGCAGGGAGCCCGATGTGGGACTCGATTCCGGGACTCCAGGATCATGACCTGAGCCGAAGGCAGTCGCTTAACCAACTGAGCCACCCAGGCGCCCCCTCCTTTATTCTTCTGCATAGCATTAATATACTGGACATTTACTCTGGACATCTGTTTCTTGCCACTTTCCCCCACTAGAATGTGAACTTGTGAAAACACGGCCTTGCTCTCATTTGCCCATCCCTGTATTTCCAGTGCCTGGAACACAGCCCAGCGTGGTGAGTGCTCATTTTCTTGACTGAATGAACAAACAGGCTTCGTAGGAAATCATTCACTTCCAGAGATCAGCTTGCTTTCCAAGACACCTGGCTTTATGGCAAACTCCTGCCTGAGGTAAAGTCCCAGGCTGAGCCAGTGTGGGAGAGAGCCCACTGCAGCTGAGCACCAAGGGCGACGTCTGACATGCAGGCTCCAGGAGCACCCCATGGGATTCCCCAACAAGCCCACATGATCCAAAGGCAGAACCCAGCAACTCCTGGGCCATCCTGCATCCCCTCCCTACTGTTTGCACACCTCAGGCCCAGCTGCAGCCATGGAGCCGTGCTATGCTTTGAAACGATGTTCCCTGGCCCACCTGATCCCCACTGACCTCTTCAACCTCACCCTCGACCTCTCTTCAGCCACTTCAACTAGGGTGGGCTCTGCTCCTGACCAGTTCCTAGAAAACACTGCTTGAGTTCCTATCTGCCAACCTTGCTTCTGCACCTACTGTTCCCCATGTCTGAAACGCAGGGGCTCTCCCACCCCCCCCACGCCCCCCCTGCCGCCCCATATACCCCACTCACTCTTCCCCAGGCTAGCCCCTCCCATGTATCAGGGCTCAGCTAAAGAGCACCTCCCCTCCAGGGGTCATCCTTATGTCCTCTCTAGCATTCACAGCACTTGCTCCTGGTTGGGAACCACTGTTCTAGAGAAACACTACCATGGATGTGTAAAATGTCATGGATTACGTCACTGTTTGTAAAACTGGATATCACACAAATGCTTATCAACAGAGGGATGGATAAATACACTAAGTCACATCCAAGCAATGGAATCCTATGCAGCCATTAAAAAGAACAAGCCAGAGCGATACACACACTTGAAAAGATGTCCACAATACGCTGAAACGTGGGAAAAATGTTTCAGGAACAGTATGTCTAGTATAACCCCATTTTTGCAAAAGAAAAACAGCAATATCTATATACACTCCATACGGTAGTAGAAAGCATGGGGGGAAGTCTGTATCAGCACACACACCGACAGCTTGGTAAAATTACCTCTGGGGAAAGGGTTGGCAACTAAAGCACCCCAAAACAACTAAAATTAATATAAAATGATTTTAGAAGGGGCCACAGAGTTAACCTAGTTCTTGAATACCAACAGTAACAGGAAAATCAGTGCCCACACAGGGCCAAGTTCCACCCCACCACTGATTCTTTTTTCCTCTGGAATTCTGTCTGCACCACTCCCTCAGCCCCAAACTCACTTTCTGAAATACGAAAGTAGTGCTCCAAGCCATCCTTAAAATTAACAAGGCATTTCTACATGGCTATATCAGCAAAGTATTCTAAAATCACAACACCTGGGTGGCTGAGCGGCTGACTCTCGACTCCGGCTCAGGTCATGATCTCAGGGTTGTGAGATCAAGCCCCACAATGGGCTCTGTGCTCGTGGAGGAGTCAGCTTGAGATTCTCTCCCTCTGCCACTCCCCCTCATGCTCGCACACGAACTCTCTCTCTCTCCCTCTTAATAAATAAACAAGATCTTAAAAAAAAGAAAAAAAAGTCTCATGGTATGAAACCTCCCCACCCCTACCAGGAATGTGCCCATTTCTCGGCAGCTTCCTCCTCCACACTCCCAAAGGAGGAGACCTGGCCTTTCCCGGGCGACTTCTCTGTGACATTAACTCAAGCTGCTTCTCTCCAGGCACCTGTGAGAAGCAGCTTAACCATGGGGCAGGTGATTGAGAGGCAAAGCCTCTCCAGAGGCTACCCAGGAACGGCCGAGGTCACACTGAGCAGGGTAAGTGCCCTGCCATCAGGGAGGAAGAGGCATTTCTATAAATAAGCAGATCTGCCTAGCTGGACATATCAATAGGCCTGAGTTCAAGTTCTGCCTCTCCCTCATATCCTGGGAGGCTTATTTAACCTGGGTTCTTCTCTCTCTTCTGGAAAATGGGAATGACGTCTGCCTTGCCGAGCCGATTGCTGGGATGATCATGCAAGACACCATACGTGGCAAGCTTTGTAAAAAAGATAAAAGTCTAATATACATGAAAGGGCTGGTTAAATATAGTTCCATAGTTACCTTACTTTTTCCACTTGTTCCAATTTCCTTCTTGTACCAGTAAGCCTTGTTAGTTACCTAAAGAGACAAAATAAAAATGAAGTATGACTGTATATGCATGATATACAGAACATTAGAGACGGGGACCCTGGAGTGAGTAACAGGGTGGGCGGGGTGTGGGAGAGACTTTGCCTTCGCCATCCCCCTTCTCCTACTGCGGAAGCCCCTGGCGTTGGGCTACGAGCGGTGAGCTCGCGTGCCCGTGTGCCCATGTGTTCAGCTGGGGGTCCCCGCAGACGTCCCCGCGCGTGGACACACGTGTCCAGCTGTGCCTCGGGGCGTTTTCTCCCCAAGTTCGAGAAGACGCCCGCGAAGCAGGCACTCACGTGTATAGGTGTCCCGCATGTGTGCGAGGTTTTGCGCCCTGCGTCCCTGAAGATGCTTCTCAGGTCAGGCGTGACACGTGCGCGTATAAACCCTGCCCCCACGTGAGTACCGGCGCATATGTGCGACCCCCAGTCCCCGAGCGCACGGCGAGTAAGAAGGTAGAGGTCGCTCACCCGGCACGAAGGGCGCGGCCCGACTTCGCGCGGGCTTCTCTCCCTACCTCCTCAGGCAGCAGCAAAACTAATTGCGTCCGGCAGTAACCGACGGGCTCCCGGACCAATCACCGTGCAGCTTCCGACAGGGGCTGGACCAATAGTTGTATAGTCATAGATGGGCAACTCCTCTTGCAAGGCGTCACTGGGTAATGTAGTCCACCGCTACTAAGGAGGTCCCCGTTGTAGGCGCAGAGCCTTCTGGAAGTTGTAGTCTCACTGCGGGCGCGGGCGCGAATGTTATTCTCGCGTGGGAGGGTGGCGCGTCCCGAAGTACGGCTGTGGCCCTTGGGAGGTCGCAACGCTAAGTGGCGTGTGGCTTCTATCCTCCTTCGAGCGGAGGGAAGGTTGGGTGCAGTGAATTTGATCCGCTTTCCTCAAAACCGTTGTAGTCACAGAACCCAGATAATCTAAACTTGGGAAAGATAGAAGTTTAGCTAAAGCCTTGGAGGACTTGGGAGAGAGAGTGGATGGGTTTTTGGGAAACCAGGAAGAGGACGGCAAAAATGTAGAAGTTTTGCTTCCCCCTAGGGTTTATTATGCATAATTTCTCATTATAAAAATAATATGAAAATACATTACAGACGCTACAGAAAATGTAGAAACGAAGGGGGAAATGACTCATGCTACCGCTCTCATGCCAAGTAGCATCAGTGTTTTGCAGGACAGTATTTCTTCCTGAGTTTTTAATCGCATTTTTCCCATTAGTGCAATCACTTTGACACTCAATTTTTTTTTTAAAGATTTTATTTATTTATTTGACAGAGAGAGAGATAGCGAGAGCAGGAACACAAGCAGGGGGGGGTGGGAGAGGGAGAAGCAGGCTCCCCGCAGAGCAGGGAGCCCGATGCGGGACTCGATCCCAGGACCCTGGGATCATGACCTGAGC